CCTGCTGAAGTGATGCATGTTACTTGAGATCTTGAAAGGCTTCTTATCTGCATAAGGGTATCTGGCCCTTAAGACAAGCTTTCTGTATCAGTCTGAGATGGCTCCAAGTTCCTATGGAATGAAAGATGAAGCAGGGCAGAAGGGGGGAAACAGGGAGCAACATCAGTGAGATAACTTGGTAGATGATGATATAAGGAGTTTTGGGGGGGAAATGCGAGGTGTAGCTGCATACTTCAGTTACAGTAAATGCTGATGTTGACTCAGGTTCTGAAAGAACTTGAGTATGACAATATCAACTGCAAAGTGAGACGAAAGGTGAGGCAAGCAGATGGCAGTCAGTGTTGTCTTAGACCTTGTCTCAAGATGGTGCTACTGTGTGCTGGAAGAGGACAAGTAGGGGAAAAAACAGGATAAGAGGAGGAAAAGCTGATGTCATAGAGATGGAAGCCATCTTGGAGATTTTTTTATCAGGGAGGGATGTAATGGGTAAATAAGCCAGAGAAAGGCAGTTAAGTGCAGTGAGCTAGATGGCAGCAACTTTTGAGAAATGAAACGCAAGAAATTAAAACAAGGCTGGAGAACATAAATTCTAGTTCTTGGACTGGGATTTGGTAAATCTCCCAGATTAAGGATCCATTACAAATGAGATATAAAGAAGCATTTGGAGAATTTTGTGTTGAATCTGGGCCCTTCTTCAAATCAGCTGCAGAGAAGACATCACAGAAGACAAACCAGGATGGAAGGAAGCAACCAGTGCAGAGATGGCAGCTAAGGCTTGGGTAGCTCTCCTGTCACCTTGGGTATTTCATGTAAGGATATTTTCAAGGATCTGGTAATGGCTGTGATGTAAAACTGTTCTCTGCAACTTATATTTTTGTAGGACGTATTTCTCTAAAAGATACCAGTATCAGGTGTGGTTCAGTTACATTTTATTGGTGGCTGTCAGATTGCATCGATCTCAAATAATGTTTTTAATAGACTGTTTGAATTGTGGAACAAAAGTTGTGTTCCTGAGGACACTTACCTGTGTTACTCATTGGAACAGTTCTGGGTGTTTTACAGGCTGCAAATATTTGTCAGGCTTGTGAATGCCGGGATAGCGAGGCACGGCAGCACTTGGAAATGGGTTTAGGGGACAAGAATGGAAATTAATTTGCCTTTTTCTCAAGGTTAATACTTAATAAAATACAGTTAACAACAAAAAATCACACCAAAAAACCTGAATTGTGACTCATTTTTAATAAACATCGTGGGTTTTTTTCCCCTTCCGCTGGCTGGAATATGGGACTCGTTGCTGAAGCTAACTGGACTTACGCCACCATTTCTCTGGGGGCATTAGAGAAGATCTCATTGAGGTCAATTTCTAAGCTGGTAGCTAGAAAGACATGGACCACTTGTAAAGTTGTCATTTACAAACCTTACTTGAGGAAGTAATGGGTGTCCTTACCAAATCTCTCTTCTGTACTTACTTACCTAAGTTTCTGTATTTGGCTAGAGGCTGTGCTAGTAGAACATCAGAGAGGCTCCTTAAAACTGTGAGAGTAAACATTTTGAGTTATAATGTTTTGAATTTCCCAAATACAACAGACTAGTTTTCTAGCTACAATGCCTGATTGAAACTAAAGCTAAACTCCTTTTGTAGCCTCAATATAATTTTTTCCTTTTGGAAAACGGTAGTCACACCTGCTTTCTCTTACTTTATAAAACAATTGGATGAGAGAGAACTCTCAAAGAGGCTTAACTCTTAGGACGTGCATAGATACCACTTAGTGTCACATGGTAACTGCAATGCAAGTAAATAATGCTTGATTACCAAGATTCTAGTTCACGCTGACTTGGTTATACCTGTCCTGTCTTCTGTTAAAGGACAAATGCAGCCTTGTGACATCTGACTTGATCTTCACTCGTGGATGTAAATCTAGCAGGCATCTAAAACTATCATTACACTTGTCCTTTGTTCTGTCGTGCTGCGATAAAGAGAGAGCTTTTGCTTCCATATCAGATAATAATGCATAAAAATTTTATAGTCAAAAAGCAATGTGTTGATTCTGTGGTAGATAAGGCTGGGGCTAAGATTTTTACCTATTCCATATTTATTTAAATATTTAGTTCCTACCAGGAGGACAAGCAAGTGGAAGAATAGAATGTCCTAACAAGCATGCCATCCTGGATTTTGCTCAGAGAGTTTAAGCTCCGACTCAGTTAATGAATCGGTTCCCAACTGAAAAAGCAAGTAGTATATTGATATGGAAATAAGCAGCCCATGCCTACAGCTCTGCTCTTCCTATTGGAGTCAAGCTGAAACCATCTTAAATAACCACTGTAAAATGGTATAAGGACAGAACTTAAGCCTGACTGGAATGTCTTCCAAATTTACAGCCAAATAAGGAGGAGGGAATTGAAGTTTTCAGGAAATTAAATCTGTCCCCTTTGCCTTCAGTTCACAGCCTTTCCTAAAACAACACAGCTGCTCATGGCATGCATGACATTCTCTCTTGGTTTATTCTCTTGGGCCAAAATTTATTTTTAATTGTACTCATGTGATTTGATGCAAGGAGAAGGCTTAGGAATGTGGGGGGAAAGGATTATTAGCTTCTGATAACCTATAATAAGGAAAGGAGAGTAATTTCAGAATGTGACCTTCCTACACACTGCAGTTTGTCTTCCTCTTGTACTGAAAGTCATAAGCATCTGGACCAACAGGAAGCCCTGTCAGTATCCTTAAAGCATCCAGAAGGAAGCTGTGAGGGCATAGCCACAAGACTGTGGACAGTTCATTTTTCTTTCTCAGGGTTTCATGTTGTCCTGAATCCAGTCAAGATAACGATTCACGTTTGTATAAACGCCAGGTAAGTCTTTGCGGCCACAGCCTATTCCCCAGCTGATGATTCCAATTAGATACATACGATCATCGTTCATACAGACCAGAGGCCCTCCAGAGTCACCCTATGGAGAAGTAGCAGGTTAGTAACAATCTCCTCTTCTGTTTGTTTGGTTTTGTGTTGGTTTTTCCCCCCGCTGGCTTTAGTGGTACACTAGTGTCTATGGAAATACCCTGTGTGGCACGGACACAAATCAAGAGCTCTTAGTAACAGCACTTTCACGTAAGCCAGTTTTGTGTTCCCGACTCGCTCAATGCTCCTCTCATGGGGACAGACTAACACTAAGGTGTCAAACTTATGCATGATACTCATTTATGAAATGTAGGTGAGACGTTGATAAGAACAAAAAAGAGGAATGAACAAAAAAGAGGAATGCTCTTATTCAAGCTATAAAGATCCAGGGTGTTTTATACTGCTCTGTGTAACAGTAAAGCAAAATTACTGAAGAGTTTTTTTAATGGAAAGGATGTGGATTGACTGC